TGGCATATCGCTTGCACTCCTTAATGAGAAACAGACTGCCAGTATCTCATCAGGAACCGGGAACCAGAGCCCATTGAGATGTTATGATATGAATGATAATTCAGCGAGTGTGTTTGCTCGGCTATATGGGCTTTGTGTCAACACTCTGGGTCCAGCCAGGTCTCGCTCGGGACACAGAGAGCAGGATGCATTTTCATAAATCATTTCTTGACACCAAATCAAGGTTATGTGGTTGGCAGACTGTAGCCTGTAAATTGCCTTTGCATTGTCAATGCAAAGGCCCTCCGCTGGGATTTAAGTAGTTCACTAGCTATTTATGGCTGGAAAATTAAGATGACCTTTTCCCAAAATGTGATGATGGTGCTTTCAATACAAACTAATGCACAGAAGAGAAATGCCTTATCATATATGGGAAGTGTAAACCATTCATTTAAAAGCCGCATACACAGAGAATAGCCTGCTTTTGTTACTCATGCATGATGCACTGGCTCTGTACTACCCACAGTGTAGAGGTAATAATTAGCTCACTACAGCAGAGTAACAAGTTTGCACCCCCGTCCTGCTGTGCAGCACTGTAATTGGTCCCCTCATGTGGCACCGTCGGGCCCCAGAACAAAGGGTTCCCAGAGGGGGAATCTATGCTGACCTATGCTGAACCTTCCACAACAATGACAGGCAGGAAGCATTTACATATGCTGACAGACTTGTCTCTTCCTAGGGTGGAGTGCTAGGCACTTCATTAAAGCAACATCAATACCTGCTGATAGAAAACGAGGAGTGGGCCCGTGCGCATCACTGTCTGCTCTGAGACACTATAGTGAAATGACATAGGGCTGTCACATCCAATTTCAAATAAATGGACAGCATTTATTAAACAGAGTGTGTGTGGAAATTGATGGGGGAGAAACTGTGAGTTGCTGTCAGAGCCGTGCTTGTCTGCATGCATCAGCAATTGGTTTGCCCACAAGCTGTTCACCTGAACGTCAGCTGCCAAAATCTGTCAGCCCCCGGGTGCACCCGAGCAAATTTCCACACTTTCTGAGCATTATTTTTGTTATTTTTGACCTAAAAAAGCAGTTTACGCTCTTTTTCTGCGGCCGTGCTTCTGCGTCGTGTTTCGTCACAGAAGCCTAACCCGCTTTTCAGTGAATGCTGAAGAGAAGCGCGTGCAAAGTCAGATACAGGTGACATATCTGTCGATTCAGCAGCCACGCTGCAAGAGTGCAGGTGGTTCCATCCATTCATTGCATCATGCTGCTGTGAATTCATTCTCTTATCCCGTTAAAGGAAGGGTAAATCCTCCTTCCATTTGACACGCCGCTCATTTAGTTGAGAGGCACAGTGGCTGGCTGGAGGGAGGAGAGCCAAGGGGGTGCTGTGGTCGTGGTAGCGGTGGTGTCGAGGAGGAGGGGGACTCTTTGGGAGGTGTCGACCTGAGCAGATGGACTTCTCAGTTGCGTAGTAAGTGGAGTCTTCACACGGCAGAGACTGCAGGATCTCACAGGACCGGGACACAGCATCCAGGTGGCCACAGCCCCTCCTGACCAGCTGGAGGAGCGATGGGACCATCTGACACTCGGAGGAAAATGATACACTTCTCTTTGCTGCTTTGTTTTGTCTTGACACAAAAGCCCAGAGCCAATCAGGGAATTTAGCTAATGAAGCGTAGAGAAAATCCTCTTGATTACATACAAGCATTCAAGGTCACATTAGCAATGAGAGAACAGCGTTTGCACAGTCTTCAGGTGTACACTTCTACTTTGTAGTCATGCTCAGATTTTTTATTTCAAGACAAAAACAATAAATCTCATGTATTGTTTGACGTGATTAAGATTTCATACAAACCCGTCCTCTAAATCTGCATCAGCAACTGACTGCAGTGATTTCTGCACAGCTTACACGTACTGCAATGTAGATTCAGCAAATCCAAGTGAGAAAGTCCCATCTGTGCTTCTCCTCCACTGATCCTGGGCCCTGGAGGCTATGTAGGGCTAATTGTGGCCCCATTTTCCTTTCCTTATCTTTTTGTTTTTACTCAGTGTCGGGGTCAGGGAAGCTCCCAAGTGACCAGCGGCAGGAGCAACAGCCATCGGCCCCCTGCTGAGCATCAGTAATTAGAGCCCTCCTCCACCGCCCTGGCTTTTCCCCCCAGACCCAGGCCAGGGAACCTCTCGCTTTCCTTCTGAAGGGCATGGGGGGCAGAGAGGAGGAACAGCTGCTGATGGGAAACCACTCTGCGGTTCCCATCGATGACCAGCATCCGTCCATACTCCTCAGAGGATTTGCACCAGCATCTTTAGGATAGGAATGATGGGATCATTCTATGTCTGCTTTCTCATGGCTGCTAATCTTGCCTCTAAACACTAGTTGATGTTTATCAATGAAAGGGCATCGCTGTACATGAAAGGCAGCTTTGCACGACTCACACATTCATCATATGTATAATAGCAAGGGGACAATAAAATTTGCTAGACCTCTAATGAAAATATCCTTTGTGATGGTAATATTTTTTCCTTTAATTAAAAATAACAGTGTTGGACTAACCACCTCCCTCAAATTCTCCCCATAACATGCGTAAATTCAGTCCTTGGATCCAGAAGGATATCTGGGGCTGGATTAGTGGATTAGTGATATTTTTAAAGACATTGCCGAATTCCTCTCATTTTAGTTTGGTATATTTGTGAGATGGTGCAAAATGACAAATTTTGCCCTATATCACAATGATTTTTTAAAATCCCTGAAAAAATTCCTGGACTAAGATATGGATCCAGGGTTAGTTAGACAAGTTAGTCAAGCCATGCACAACAATCCCGACTAACACCCTGAACCAATTAACTGATACTTGTTCATTTTTAGGGGTGCAAATTATTTCAGTAGTGGAGATAGCACCAACATATCATTGCAAAAACACCCACCACCAGTGGATCACTTCCATTGAAAATCCTACTTAATACCTAAATTAAAAATAGCCTCAGTGACTCATATATTATTATGTATCATAATACTGATGCAACAGTGTGTAAGCAGTGTTTTTCTGTTTTAGAAAGTGGATCCAAGTGATCTTATCTTATTAAATGTTTAGATACATTAGATCCTACCCTGCTGTAGAGGTGCTGGGGAAGAACATAAATATGAGGGAAAGTAAGATAATTAACTAGAGAGGAAGGAAGGAAGTGATTCTGCAACACAAATTCAGCTTTAAACATTTTGTTCTGTTATCTAAATAAAACCATCTGAAAAGCTATGAGGGGAAGCCATTTGACTTTGAGCTGACCTTACTCACGATAAAGTGTTTTTCAACAGGTGGGTGGAAATCATGGTTCAGTCATTCGTCATATTTTGAATGCTAGTCACGTGTTTATACTTTCACATGTCTATGGTAACTTGTAAGTAAATGTAATAGAATAAAAAGTACGGTATTTTTCTCTCATGTCGTTTAGTGCAAGTCTAAAGTAGGATAAAATGAAAATATGTAAATATTAGTGCCCAAAATAACCACAACTGTTTCATATTTTCTGCAAGACTTCCATTGTTTACAATGACCAGAACTGCATTGGTCCTGGCCAGAACAGCCTGCTGATTATTTCAAGCTGTCACTAGTAGTGTGGTTCTATAAATAGACGTCCATGTCCTGTCAGTGTGTCCATCATCTCCACAGATAATAAAATGCATCAACCACCTGTTTTTATGAGATTTTCATTTTATACATGGGTGATTTAAAAAGCAAAACATCCCACATAATAGCTGCATAAATATGAGCTTTCAATCTGTTTAACCCCTTTTATTGTTTCGAGCACCCAGTAAACTGTATTTCACGTCGAAGGATTTGTGGTCACTCGGTGTCTGCAGATTGTGAACCGACATGTCTTAAAAGAATGCTTGTGCCATCTAGTGGCCAAATATTGTAACAAGTGTAAGTCCAAACGTGTTTTAATAAACACAACATTGCAAAGTAAATATCATTTGAGCAACAAAACAAAATGCAAAATTTAAACCAGTCGTATGTCTGGAAAAAGGTAGAAGCTGAATTCACCTCTGAAGCTCATTGACAAGCACGTCAGTTTTACCAGCTCAAAGAAAAAATGTAAAAATGACATGTTGTGATGTTTTGAAGGATTAGTCATGTGAGGGGAAAAATAAGTTTTCGCAGGACTCTCTGAAGGGCTAAGCACACCTTTACTGCTACCCCAGGGATTAAGATGATGTGAAGCAGCCAGGTGCTGCTAATCAAATGCAGCAAGTGTGACCACCTCTATAAAAGCTAACGTTTGGGCAGTTTGCTGGTCTGGAGCATTCAGGTGTGTGTTAGCACAATGCCACTATCTTCCCAGCAATGGATGTCCTAGTAAATTTACCCCAAGGTCAGACGGCAATGCCCAACGACTGCAAAAACCTCAAGAGCTACATCTCAGACCTTACAGGCCTCAGTTAGTATGTTAAATGTTAACGTTCATGACGATAAAAAATTAGAAAACGACTGAACAAGTATGGCCAGTTTGGAAGGCTGCCAGAAGAAAGTCTCTTGTCTCTAAAATGAACATGGCAGCACAGCTTAAGGTTGCCAAGTTGCAATAAATCACAAGACTTCTGAAACAATGTCTTTTGGTCAGACAAGATCACAGTGAAGATGGTTAGCCACAGTGCACAGCGCCACATTTGACGGAAATCACATTTACCACATAAGCACAAACACCTCATTCCAGCTGTCAGCACGGTGGTGGAGGGGCGATTATATGGGTTTGTTTTGAGGCCACAGGACTTAGGAACCTTGCACTCACTGAGTCAACCAGGAATTCCTCTGTACACCAAAATATTCTAGAGCCAAATGCAAAGCCACCTGGCCGACAGTTAAAGTTTGTCCAAAAATGGGTCGTGCAACTGGACAATGATCCCAAGCACAGCAGCAAATCTACAAGAGTAGAAGAAAGAATGAAAGAATCATGGTGTTGCAATGACCCAGTCAAAGTCCAGACTTCAACCTGATTGAAATACTGTGTATTTATGAGCTGTGCATAAATGAATGCCTGCAAACCTCAATGAACTAAAGCAAGGCGGTAAAGGAGAGTGGGCCACAGCGGTGTGAGAGAGCAATAAAGTCATATAGAAAACAATAACTTCAAGTTATTGCAGCTAAAGGTGGTCATACAAACAACTGAATCATAGAGTGTATTTTGTTTTTCTGCATAACCACTTGTGTGTTAATTTGTGCCTTGATTAAAAACAAGATGCAGCATGTTTGTTAGTGAGGGAGTGACATGCCAGAAACAGTTCTGGCTTCACTTTTTGTTTATAGTCATGAGAGCGCCTTTCATCTACATCTCTTGCAAAAAAAGATTAAATTAATCTAACAAAGTCTGCAGCTCGTCATCAGTCATAGAGGGCACTCGGTGTTGCAGAAGTCTCCTGACTTGAAGAACTGGTAAATGTTAACCAGCGGGAACATAATGACGGAGCCCACTAGTGAACCCATCTGTGTCGCAGCTCCACACCAGACCAAAGCGTTGTGGCTCCGGTCTCTCAGGATGACACCCACCATGACTTTGACATAAGACAATGTCCCAGTAAAGAAGAGCCATGAGAGCACCTGGTGAGAGTAAAACAAGAACACAGACTCAGCAGCTCATTTGGATGTTAATCATTATTTTAACAGTGTTTGTGACTAAAAAATAGACTCTGATTTCACACTGAGTAATGATGTTGCCTCATCATAAGTTATGAGTGAGCAGAGTTCAACGCTCAGGATGTTTATGAAGGAGGTTTTGTACTTTTGTACAAAGAACATGCTTGCGTTTCACTCACAATTATCGCCTCTCCCACTGCAGACCCATGAAGCAAGGGACAGGGACTCATAGCTGCCATGGCCATGTTATAGCTGCCAAATCCTGTCCCCACCACCGCCAGTAGGCCGAGAAAGACCAGCGACCTGGGCGGAAAAGACGTCTGTTATCAGCAGCAGTTAGTTAATTTCTCTGAATCCAAAGGCAACTTGTCTTTCAAGTGAATAATTCAATGGACCTTGTGCCCAAGCAAATATTTGAGTGATAGTGGGGGAAAAAATGTGTTAATAACAACCAGGTACCTGTAAGCACACTAAAGTAGAGTTTGCTTGCTGTATGGTAAACACTTCTTTTCCAAAGAGCTTGCAAAAATCATGATGGGGATAAAAGCTACACTCCTCTTTAGAAAATGTAAGATTTGGGGAATCCAAATTAGATGAAAAAAGTGTCTTTGTCTTCAATGCTAAGGTGCTGTAGTATCATACCCAGTAAACATGCTTAATCAGCCTTTTGTAACTCTAATCGTCACTACAATCTTTATGCTCTTAGATGTGACTAAAGATTGAGACTATAATAAGGAAAGTGTTTACTGACATCATAGATTAGAGGAGCAGTAGGTTCATTTTACAATCTGACCTACTTTTTGCAGGTGCTGTGGTAAGCACTGCTGCCTCACAGTGAGACGCTGGGTTTGAGTCTGCCAGCCAGATTTCTTTCTTTGTGGAGTTTGCATGTTCCCCCCAGCTCTGCGTGGGTACTTCTTCCCACAATCCAAAAACATGTGCGTGCATGTTAGGCTAACTTTTGATTGTAAATTGGGTGTGAATGAGCATGAATGGTCATCTGTCTCTCTGTGACAACCCTGCAAATGACTGGCAACCTGTCCAGGGTGTACCCTGCTTCTACCCCTGTGACAACTGGGATAGGCTTTGCTCTTCCCATGACCCTAAATTAGATGGCCATTCTTCAGTGTCCATGATATACTTTCCAGTGTCTATTGCAGATCAAGCTGTGGACCCATAACCTGCAGGCCAGGGGACCAGCGTTTATGAGTTATGAGTTATGTTCAGTAAATGCATCTATAAACTATTTACCAACATGGCAAATTGATTCACGTGTTTTTGATTTGGTACAGATTTTACCCTGAACAGAGGAAGTCAAAACTGCTTCGGTGTTCATCAGGACACTTCACTTTTGGTTTCATACAGACTTACAATAATAAAACATTATTACCTGTTTTGGATGAACATTGCAAGAGTACAGGCCACTGGGTTGGCCACTGATGCCAGAGCTGCAGAGAGGTGATAGGCCAGGTTCCCGTATGGCATACAGGAGTATGTTTGCACAGAGGGAAGCAGGCCGTTGGTTGCAGAATTAACCCACACCACCAGAAAGTAAATGAAGGTCAGCTGGTACACGGAAGGTTTTGCCACCAGATGTCTGCCCTGGGCAACCGCCTCACCATTGCTTTTTACACTTCCTCCATCAAGATCAGCCCCTGAGTTATCCAGATAGGAGCTGACAGACACTACTGTATCCTGGACAAGGTTCTCAGTGGACAGCTCGTATGTCCGAGGGAGTCTGTTCAGTGCAACAAAAGCAGCCAGGCTTATGCACATCATGGCTGCTAGGATGAAGAAAAACACCTCGGTGGAGAAGTTTGGGGGAAGATACTCCGTATGTAATGATCCTGTGTGGTTTCCTGCAGTCTCAGAAGAGTTGACGCATTTGGCCATACCCACACCCTGAGCTAGAGCAACTACACCAGGAATGAAACCACTTAGCCCCTCTCCAATATAATAAGTGGTAATATATTTTGCTGGAAGCTGCATCATAAAAGGTAAGAAGGTAACTGAAGAAGTGCAGTCCACCAGAGAAAGGAAGAAAGTTATGATAAAGAAGGCTGTGCTACGTGATGCCCCTATAAAAATCGTGGTCCTGTCCCAGAAGAAGGCAAGCAGGATGCAGGACAGGACACCGATGGAGAGGATGGAGTAAATGACAATATACTCTTTAAGACACCCTGGGTACAGTTTGTGCATCAGGGTGACCAGCAGAGGTCCCACGTTAGCCAACTGGATAATTACTGTGAGGTAGGAGGGTAGATCCCAGCCTTCAGGGAGTGCGTTGACAATGAGCGGCAGCTCCACCCACAGTCCGTTCACAGCCACCCAGGAGCCAATGCCAAAGGCGCAGGCCAGAAAGTGGACGAGCAGAGCCATACTGCAGGTGGATCAGTGTGAAAAAGTCTGTGGAAATAAATTAATAAGGATGCATCAGTATGTAAGAAAAGTGCTGTGTAATGCTGTTGTGTCTGGGTGTTCCCAAACTCAGAGTAAATACCAGGGGTCTCAAACTCGCGGCCTGTATATTGATGTGAAGAAATATAATGCAGTTTGGCCCTTGAAGTTACTTTTTTTTGTTAGGAAGGATTTGTTTGTTGTTGAGTGCAATGTTAATAATAAAATGATTTAATATGAAGGCAATATGAGCAGAGAGTACAAACATGTTGAGGGATTGACTGTGCTAGTTCAGTGAGAGTTATTTGTAAACAATTTTCACTAGCAGTCAAAAACTAATGTGTCCACTTATGTCTGCATTTTTATTTTGTTAAACACGAACAAAATTATAGCAGAAGTGCTGCCACGTGTCTGAACAGAAAGAGAGTACCAATGTGTTTATTTGGTAGTTCAATGAAGGGCTTGAGTTAGTTAAGTATGAGGAAAAAAATCCATTCACATTTGTTGTTCTGTCTTGTTATACAATATTTGACATTTTAAAAAACAAAGAGAAAAAGCACAAAATTTTCTGAAATATTTGTGGGTGTTCTCTTGTTTGTTTGTTGTTTGTACTACCGGTACTTGAATAATAATAATAATAATAATAATAATAATAATAATAATAATAATAATAATAATAATAATAATAATAATAATAATAATAATAATAGTCGGCATTCTTTCGAAACAAAAGAAATTCTTTTGAAACAAATTATAACTACTCCCTTCTGGTTTTATGCCTCTGCCAGCAAGGGAAGTTGAGGTCTAAACTTGACCTTTGACCTTTTACATATAAAATGCCATCACAGTCTAAGAGCTATGGCCAAAAACATGTTTTGTGAGGTCACAAAACATGTTTTTGGCCATTGACCACTAACATCTGATAAGCTCATTCTTAAGTTAAGATAAATGTCATGTGAAGAAGTTCTTCGAGATATTGAGTTCATGATAACGGTACCAACAGACAGAGATCTCAAACAGAAACCTGTTCCTTTGTACAGCAACTGCTTGCAATATAAGTAAACTAGAAGCTAAGTAATGTGACAAGCAGTACCTGTGGTCCCGCTGTCTACCACACTGTCAGTCATGCTTTCCTCACCTGTATAGACTTTCATGCCTGAGATGTCTTTTATTGTTGTAGCCAGTAAAGCTGAAGCAACTCATCGTTACTTTGTAGTTAATTTGCTGAAATGGATCGTATTTTATATTTCTGATGCTATATTTTGTTTCTTTATTTCTTCTCATAACAAATATCCAGCAGTTAAAATAAATGTAGACTCATGTTACAAATGTAAATCAGCATAAAACAGAAATACTTTTATCCCACTGATACCTGCGATACAGTGTAGTGGTAGTTAGTCATTACCCAAAATAAATAACAACCTTTTCAGCAGAAGGGTTCACACCTGTGGCTGGTACAATTTTCACATTACTTTCAGACATTGTCGAGGAATTCAACAAACCATATGTGCCTGCCCATCTCTTCCTCTTCACATTTTCACTCTGTCTTTGTGCATGCGTGTGGCTTTCAAACTGATCTCATGATGAAATAAGTCAGAAGGCAGTCTTGTGATAAACAGAATTTGAAGAAGCTGACACTGAGGTTGCTGACAAACACAGTCTTATACTGTACTTTAAGTGGTGTGGTCAGTTGAGATAATGAGGTTAAAAGAAAAACAGAAATTACAGTGTTTGCACGCACTCAGTACTGAGCTCTCGAGTAAATGCACTTCCTTTTAGATACAAAAATGTACTTACAAGTTGTTTTAATCCTCGGAGGTGCTGAATAGGACTTGCTGTCATCTTACAAAAAGATTACTGACTGGTCTTGCATAAGCACATGCTGGTGGGACTCGTGTGGCTGCTGTGTAGGTCAGAGTCCACTCCTGCACCAATGATCAGCTCCACCAGATAACAGGGGGTAGTGTCTTCCTTTATTAAGGTCAAGTTAGTCTTTAGCACTTTGAGGAGCTCGCACAGACAGCTAAAAGAATAAGACAATAAAAAAATAAAAGTAATAATTGTTTTTGACTGTTCAAACGCAGCTACAGGGGGGAGTTTAACATCTGAAAGTTAAAGGGAAGATACCAAAGTGCCAAAAAAGAATCACAATTCAGCCTTCAGCATAATTAAAAAGAGACACATAGTTGTATTTTTTAGATTGAGTGAATTTAAACTTCCAGGATTACCTTTATATCTAGAGTGAATGCAAACAAGCCTCCAAAAACCTGCTTAGAAATTACAAGACATTTTTGTTCGATATATTCATGAGGAAGTCTCAAGAAAGAACTCCTAATATCTAATTCGTCTTGTTTTACATGTCAATTTGCCAAAATATAGACAAGCTCAAAAGCAAGGCTCATATTAATTGACAATACCAACCTGTAGCCCAAAGTGAAACACTATATGAGGTTTATGGGGTCTTATATTTCCAATACCAACTCTACAGAAACATATTTCCCCCCTCAGGGTCACATAACTGTTAAATATCACCCTGAACTAATGAAATCAAATTAAGTCAGGTTAGATTAATACTACATTGCCCTCTACTAGTCACAAGTGTCAAATAAATCGGTTTGCCACCGAGCTTTGACAAATCAGTCCTTTGAAAAACACTGGTACCAAATTATTCTGGAAAAGTAGCCACTTCATTGTGTCTATTTGGTATTAAAACATCATGGTCCTCCTGTAAAACAGAGCCAAAATACCTTGTTCTGGTAAACTGAGCTTAACTCACTAATGCTACAGTCACATTAGGGAAAACTGGACTGGAGTCCTGACTGGAGTCTGCAGCATGACCAAACTTTTTATGACTATATAAAATGAGCGTACACACTCAACCTCCAGGTCACCGGTTTTGTTGTTGAAACTGATTGCAATCAGTTGCTGACAGCAGAAAACATTCAATGCAATCACTAATTTTTCCTATTTACAAAAAGGCTGCTTTCCATTTTCACACTACGTGACTGAGCCGTAACACATCACAGTGTCACTAAATCAAATCTGTATTTATTTAGTGACACTATGCAAATAAGTTAAACTGTTTCAGATACTGTCACATGGATCCAGTTTTCATTATAATCAGTAGGTTTTTAATGTTTACAGTGGAAGGGTGGCAGATTAAAATTTATTGTAACCAACTGAGAATCTGGACACATTTATTCATCTATTTTTAAGACATCAAAACTATTAAATAACACATTTCTTGCTGTCCAAACAAAGCAAGAAATATAAATTAAACTGGTGATATTTTTTTAAACATCCAAAATTTTTGATGTTTGCACAATAACTTCAGCTAAATGAAAAGCAATAACAGAAAGTAGTATTGCTAAGGGAAAAACTTGAATCATGTTTGCATTATCTCTGCATTAATTTATTTAAATGTATTAATTTATGGGATTTTTTTTTTTGCCCTCAATACTTAAGAGCAAATTTGTGTTTACTCTGTTTTTATTAATCTGCAGCTGTTTTATTTTAAACATGATGATTTTTTTTGCATGTTTAGTGGTCATCAAATGAGGTCAGAGAGTGAGTATGCAAACATTAGCTGTATAATATACAACTGATCGTGTTGTGCCTGTCAGAGGGTCCAGTTGGATATCTTTACAAAGTGCCAAACTGCAGT